ATGGGGAAACATTAAATTTTTCTATTAGATATAGAAGAAACATTAAGTTTTTTTCATACAGTATTTTGCGTTTTATAAATTTATACTTAATACTTCTAAAAATCCCTATGTATTTTTATCCATTTAAACTTAACTATATAAATTTATATAAAAGAACAGAGAAGCCACAGCCTTCTAAAAGTTTAAGTTGATGTGGAGCAAGGCGGTATTGTTAATTATAGTAATTGGTTGGAGGGAGGTTTGGATATTCATTTGGATAAATAATTAATAATGTATTATTTTTATAATTGGGCAGGTAACAAATAGCAGAATTGAAACATTGGTAGAAATTAGAAACAGAAATTCAGGGAAAAAAGAGTATGCGTTGAAATTTACCAAAAACAAGAAAAGAGAAAAAGTGAAAAGCAGCAATATAACTAAATGGAAGTGGAGAAAGTGGAGATGGGTAGTGTCATCACTCGTACTGTAACATTGAGCAGACCTCACATAAACTAACAAGTCATCAGATATGTGAATAAAAAGAAGCCTAAATGAAATAAATTTCATAGAGGAACGATCCCTATTCCATAAGGTAGAGTAGACCAGCAGTTACTTTAACACCTGGGAACATTCATTGAGATAGAAACACAGGAGAGCAGAGGAGCAAGATTTCTATAGGCAAAGTGACTTTGCTGAGACGGAAATCAGCTGAACTTCTAAGGATCATGTGGGCTGACATGATGGATTGGAATCTGAAAGACCACAAATGTGAGTCAGTCCTCTTTACCCGTCAGTTCTCCCCCACAGGACTTTTGTGGCATAAGCCGTCATATAGGAAACTAGGGAAAAGGCTGAGAAAGAGTTCCCTTAATCTCCGGATGCTTAAACCCCAAAGTTCTCCTAGAGGGAGGAACTGATCTTATTATTTGGATATTTAGTAGGTATTCTGAAATTAACTACAGCAATAGCTCAGCCCCCAACACAGTTCAACCTCTGAATTGAACAAAGAGATCTACCCTTCACTGTAACTTTCTTTTTTTTTTTTAGCTGAGCCATCCTGCTACCTGTTGGCAGCTCAGCGGCTGCTCAGCTCGGGCTGGACTCGAACCGCTGTTGCTCAGAG